CTCTGCAGTCATGGACACCCATCCCCTGTCATAAACAATCACTCTTCAAAATCATCGGGCCGCCCTTTCCAACCGGACGGATGGTCACTTCCCCCTGGGTACCCGCTCACTGTTGCCTTCTCGGTAATGAAAGGGCTAACCGACTATCACGTTCTACAAGTTCTCTCTGCGCAAGCCGGGTCCCCGATGTCGCCCATGCCACCGCAGCTTACACTCGGTTCCTTTCATGACACTCAAAAAGCCCGGCAGGTCCAAATCAGCCAACGGCGCCAATACCTGACAAGCCGGGCTAACCCCCTGGAATTCCCTCTCTCTCTCTCTGTCATCTCCCATTGACTTGTCTACAGTACAGACCTGCCTCCTACACCAAGCACTGTCGGGAGCCTTCCTCGCTCCTGTCCTCCCCAAGAAGATTTACCCTCAAAGCCCAATGAACCCCGAAGGCACCCACTGTCGCACACTCGCTGCTCTCGTACATCTCCTATGGAACTGTCCCCTTTTGCGCAGCAGCCCGCTCTCGTGCGCACTCTTTCACTTACCCTGTCCACCCTCGCCGAGTGGCTCAACCCCCACTTTACGTCCGGGCGCAGCGGATGCTACGAGCCATCGGAGCCAATCCAAGGCAATGTCAGTGTCACGTGACTTTGGAGAGGGAGCACAGCGACGCGTGGAAAGCGTATCACGGGCTACCTACACAGAGCGGGATTGGCTAGGATAGCGTCCGCTGCGTCCAGACGTAAGGGGAGACGGAGTTCAGACTACTTGAAAGCCCCCCGCGCCCTCGCTGGCTGCAGACAGGCCGTACGAGTCGTTTATCGCCGCCTCTCGTCTTCTAGCTCCCTCTGGTGACACCAGGGAGAGCTAGGCGTTTCACCTGTGACCAAACTGCATAGCGCTCAAAACGCAAACTCTTTTGGTCGTTAAATAAAGACGTTTTACTCACCCTAGATTCCACACGGATGTGTGGAATCTAGAGTGGGTAAAACGTCAAAGTTTGCCGAAATTTGGCAACAAACCAAATGATTCTTTTTCTTTTTTTTACCGTGACAACTGAGCATGTGATTTGTGCGTCAGGGAGAAGATAATCTCAGACGTATTTTTATTTTCTATTCAAACACAAAAATATTTTGGGCAGAGGTACAGTCTTTTTTACTCACACATCAGCTTGTGCGCTTTGAAATCCCTACAATTACACGAAACAAAACTAGCTGATTTAGCAGAGATCATCATAGTTTTAGGTCTGCATGCACTATGGCGGTCAAGGGCAGATATGACCGAGCGCACATTGAATGCTAAACCTGCATAGCGTCATTTCACGAACAAATTGGACTGGACCATCGCCACTTTATAATCGGTACCATTTGAAAAAGAACTAAGAGACGCCCTGGTCAAGGGTCGCAAAGTTGCGCTTAATTTTTATGCTTTGGGAAGACTATCTGTAGCATTCGCACGCTCCGCACTTTAACGTTGTATATTCGTTCTATCGCTGCACTGTGTATTGGTTAATAGGTTTTTGTAAACTTTGAGCCATATATCTAGTTCATAAATGAATTGTTACCGACATGTCTGTCGGCGATGTACTGTGTTAGTAAATATTTTCCCATATGAGCATGTAATACTTCATTCGCTTTCATCCAACTGTCGTGTTCTCAATCTAAATAAACAATTGAGAAAAGAAAAAAAAAAAGAACAGAAAAGGCGGGAAAAGAGTCAAAGTACAGGCTAGCTGGTGGAAGTCAACCATTTCGTCGTTTACCCTGAGACTGGGGGGGGTTTTTTGAAGAGCAGAAGAAACAGAAAAAAGACCTGTCTGTTTTTTCTGTTTCTTCTGCTCTTCAAAAAACCCCCCCCAGTCTCAGGGTAAACGACGAAATGGTAGAAAAGGCGGAGTGGTGTAGTGGTTGGCACACCCGACTGGACATTGGGAGGCCCAAAGCTCATATCCTGGCCCCGCGAGATATTTTTACTTTTTCAAATGATCGAATGAGTCTAAGTTTCGTCAAACATTGATTTATTCAATCAGATACGGAGCATTCACCTAGATATTTCCGACTATTTCCTCTTGGGAGACCACGTACGATAATGAAAAGGTCCCCCCCCCCCCCACACACACACATATATATATATATATATATATATATATATATATATATATATATATATATATATATATATATATATATATATATATATGAAGATCCGTCGGCGCCCCTCTTAATCACAATTACTCGTCCACATATACCTGCATGTTGCTGGTTTTTTTCCAACAAAGTAGCAGAAAAACAAAATCTGCAAAAGCTACGCAGGCGAAGAAAGAGAACTGTGCATAAAATATTTGCACATAACGCAATCGCACGGAAAGATAGAACGACACACACACAGAGACACACAACAAAAAGATAAACAAACGTCGACCTCTATTACAGAAAACGCAAAAATTTGCGTCACATCTCTTATGCACGCCAATCGCCGCGACTATGCAGCTCGAACAACAACAAGTAATACAAATAGAAGAACACATTGGAGAGGAGTATCAGTGTATAGGAATACGCAATCCCAAGTCAAACATTCCCCCATCGCCATTCGCAGCAGGAACTCCTTGCTATATCAAGAACCCGCAGAAACAGCGCCGCAGACGAGCCGAAAACATACAGACACAGACAAGCTCAGATACGAATACAGAAACCCAAATACAAAATCGCAACAAGCGAACCAGAACAGTCCGATCGGCGATCGGGAAAAAGATTGAGAAAGGAGGTATGGAAAAGAAAGAGAAAAAGAGAAGGAAGAAAAAAAAAGGAAAGATGGTAGGCTAACAGGAAAAGGTCAAGCAAAAAAGGTGCACCGGCGATCGGTTGCCGTGTGCAACGATACTATACGAGGGTGTCAGAAGGAATAAGGCAAGCACTACCTTTCCCTTTCCTATTGTTGACGAAAGAGAAAGGGAACGAACTCCGGTAGAAACGGTAGCGTAGGCGATATACTGCGATTTGGTACGATGGCCCTATCGAGGCACACGGTTCGCCGATCAAATAACTCGAACGAGAGAAGAAGAAGAAAAAATCAGAACGGGTGCCCAAGACCCGGCCAAACAGATACTTTTACGCGCTCGAGAGACGAAAGCAAAGCTAGAGGAACGCGAGAAATGAGTGATCACCACAACTGCCGGCTTTCGGAAGCAGGACGCACACAAGCGGCGATACGGGGAGGAAGACAGACAGAATAAAGTGCAGCGTGTGTGTGCTTTCTCGGTTCCTCCTCCCCTTCCTCGAGTAGAACGAAACAAAAGTCGGGCTATATACGGGGTACGGGCTGTTGCGTGATCGATCGTGTGGTGGCGGCCCCTTCTCCGAAGCTCGGCGCGTATAGCGACGGCATCAGAAAGCAAATGGCAGATGGGCGAGTGCACGCGTCTGGTCGTCCGTCCCTGTGCACTTCGGACAGCTATTACCAAATGTTCCGTGGCTGCAGCTATTGTTTCATACTTATGTACCCTCTCCCCCCTGTGTTCTCCGGCAACTCGACGTTGATCAATCACGGAAATTTGAATGCCTCACGTACCGCTCCTTTTTCTTGGATAGGTGATACTCTACGTCGTACTAACATCCCCTAGGATAATCAAAGCCTGTGCCCTAGCATTTCGACGCGGACACAGATTATATCCCAGCGCTGCGCCACCGCCAGGCTTAACTTCATGTTCGATCAGTGCGTAGGGTTAGGACCAAACTGCCGAGCCTGGCGCCATTCCTAGGGGGATGTTGGTAGCACTCGATGCAGAAAGCGAACTATAGGAGTGAATTATACGAAAAAATAGGTCTATCCGGGAGACACTATTTAGCGTGTTCGAGTGAGAACGAAGTGTTCTTGCATTGAATATAGTTGACTACAAGTTAGGAGTGCGCGAGATACACACCACCCCGTACCAGCGGTGACATCGAATCGCTCCGCGGATGAAGCAGGAAAGGCAAAAGCCACGACGAAAGTCACTGAATCCAGGACGAGTTCTGTGACATTTGGGCTTGTGGAAGAGAAAACCGTTGACACAGGAAGCGCGAGTGAGCCTGCTAAAGTAAAGGTGTAATTTTGTTTGCCCGGTCTGTGTTTTTTTTTCTTTTTTTTTTTTGCGAGTGAGCAGTATATGCGAGTTAATTTGTTTTCGCATAAATCCTCTTTACCTCGGGGACTATTTCCTGAAATAATTATACCGGATTTCCACTGTCCTCAGCGTGACGTGCGTCTCAGTGGCGGGCTATGAGCGCAGTGCGAGGGAACACTGGCTGGCGGTAATGACGGTCTGGGAACAGCTTCTGGCACATTATTCACTTGTATCTGACCATAGTACATCCCGTCATCAGCCCACAAAGTCGGCTGGTGGCGGGAACATAATTGCCAGCAGAATAGCACGATCTGAAACGGTCCGAACGCAAATCACGGTTTCTGGCTGTAGGTACCGCAAACGACCTAATTTTAGAGAAGATCATATTTTCCCGAATTTCGTGAAGTACGAAACGATCGCGAGAAAATAATCACGCGAGTATAACAGCCCACGGCAACGACTTCGTGGCATATCACTGTATGTGGGGGAGCGATCTGTCCTCGAACTATTCCCGAAACACGTACTTCGCGAAATTCGGCCGATATCGAGCGAACTAAAATAAGGTTGTTCGCAGTTTATGAACTTGAGGTCAAAACTATCCTGTCGAAACAACCATTCGAAACCGACCACATTGGTTCACGTTCAAAGATAGTCGCGATTGATCAAACATGGTCATTGAAACAACAACAACGAAAGGCGATAATACCAGGGCACTGCCAACTTCCCGACATAAACGTGGCATAAGGAAAAACAACAACAACTGATTGGTGGCAAACCAGCGCCAATTACAATGCGTGTCAGTTCGGCACGGATCGACAGCAAGCACAATGATGCACGCTCAAAAAATGACTGCCCGGTTGGTTCTATACATATCGCAAGCAAGGATTATCAGAAAGTGGATTACCGTTCTTGCACTCGCTGCCGTGGCAAGCCATCCGGGTATACGAGACTAAACGTAGACAAAAGGTCGCCGAAGGACCGAACCCGGCCCTTCTCGATCCCGAACATATTTTCCACCGTCGCCGTCCGGCTCCACTCTTGTTTTGACAAGCGCGCGAGGCCGTGATTAGACTCGAGGTCGTATCAGTTTAACCTTTTTGCCGCGGCGCTTTCTTGAAGCGTCGTATCTGAGTCGACGTTCGCCTTTATCTCGCCGCTCTGTTTCAGCGATTCTCGATCACCGCGCTGCGCCGGTAAAGGCGGGGGTGTTTTCGAATTCGCGGAACGAAGGTTTTGGACCGCCGGACACGCGCATCTTTAAACAACCAAGGAGGAAGATTGTTCCTGGTTAGGTGGCGCAAGCTACCGCCCGTTACGAGGGTATAGGCATTGGCATGCATCCATCTATCCATGGCCAATGTGACGGTCAAACAAGGAAGAAACACGCATCAGCCGGTGTCTGCAGTCTGTTTGTTGTACGATGCACTCGCGGCGTGACCACTGCTTTAGAGTTACGTCCACTCGATCCGCAGGAGAGCGAAGAGCAATCTGATACTACGCAAGAGGTGCGAAAAAAAGAATTCTTACGCAGGTTTTATTAATTACTGGCACATATGAATGTAAAATTTTTACGAGCGGGTATATGAGAGCTTCACTGTATACGCGGAGGCTGTCGTTGGCGGCATAGAGCTATTATAATGTGCGCTAGAGGTTCAACTGGCACTAGTGTCTATGTGACTTCCGTGACGGAAATTGAAGAAGACAGCAACCAGTCTACTTTTGCGGTACTCCGGTGCATTTCTATGGGAAAACGCGCGTGCATTTTGTCTCTCCGCCGGAAAATAACACGGAACGCTTTGGTTATTTGGGTCGTACCGAATACTATGAACCTTGATTAACATTGTAAAAGTGTAATTGCTTTAGTTATCGCATTTTTCTTCATCGGTGAACGATGTTTAACTTCGCTACATTTCAATCCCAAACATGTGTTCCGCAGCAGGTGTGTAAAAACGATCGACGGTTCAAAGCAAAATTACAATCGAAAGGAATATAAAGTGTTTCAAGGCTCGCCAGCATTCCGGTGACGCTTATATATATTGATAATATGCCAGTCATATCACTATATGAAAATGACCCCGTCGTGCATGAGCGGATAACAACATTCAAACAAAGAATAAAGTACGTGGGCTATGAAAGGTATCTCTTCATATTGTTTTCTCTGCCCGGCAGCTTTTATCGGGCAGTTGTCCTTAAAGACCGGCGACCAGTTGGCGCTTTCCACTTTTCTATTCTTTCTTCCTCTCCCCTTTTCTACCCTATCCGCCGTTGCCTGTTTCCCCCTCCCCCCATGCTGAGGAGGATCTTCTGCCTTGCAGAATCTCGAGTCTGGTCGTCGGCCTTTAAAGATTTCGAGCGTGCGGGTGATATTTTCAACGCAGAACAAACATCTTCGCTCGTCTTCACGAGCAGAAAGACTAAAGCGGTACTTACTCATTTAAAATAGGAATATGTTACTTGGCCTTCAATTTATTTTGATCGTACATGCACGGGTAGTTACTGATCCAGTGTAACTGCGTAATTCGTGCCGTCTCCCTTAATTTCCAGATCAGATGTCCTTCGTTCGTTTGGCACGTATATCCCTCATGCTGAAAAGCGCCGACGTCGT